GCCGTAGCACATGTGTTTGCCTACCAGCACGTGCTCAGAGTGAGTCTGAGTTGATGACTTAGGCTACTTTTTGTGAAATCCGATTTTTTTGCGTCGTCGTTCATATTTCCAGCATGATCTTTTTTTCCCGGAAGCAAACATGGATGTTAGTGCCGACGTGCATCTAAAGGTCTTTTCAAACCATAAAAACTAAATTTTTTCAATATGTTTAAACATAAATACTGCTCTCCGCATCATCATCTGCCAATGGTTGTTGTTTTTCTTGCCGCTTCTGCATAGCAAGACCCAGAATAGTGACCTTTGTCGGGTATTAATGACTTTCAGGTCGGATGAATCCGACCTGCCCGTTCAGACACAGGTCACATTTAAAAAGATCAGTATCGGATTCAGAACCACATAGCCGAGTGGCCCGGTTCGCATTGGAAAAAAATCGGATCCGTGTTGTTCAAACTGCCATGAAAAGATCAGATTTAGGTCGTATATGGGCAAAAAAAAATCAGATTTGGGTCACTTCAGGCTGCAGTGTGAACGTAGCCTAAGTGTAAAAGATGCAGGGTTGACAATGCTTTTCTCACATGCAACAATAACAGGGTTCCCGCTGTTCCTTAAAAAGTCTTAAAAGGCATTGAATTCTTCAAAATAAAATTAAGGCCTTAATTGGTATTAAAATGTCTTAAATCAGTCTTTCATAGGTCTTAATTTTTAAAACATCATAAATAGGATTATTTTTATTACGATTTATTTTTGTTATCTAAATAAAGCATTAAAATTGACAATTTTTTTTATTATTTAAAAAAAATAATGGCTTGCCATTATTGTTTCCGTCCCGATAGCAGAACCAATAAAAGCGTTGTTGCGGCAGGGACATTTGGGAGATGCGCCATTAACTTTTTGTCTGGAAAATATGAGCAAGTGTAAATTTAACCTAAATTGTCTCCAGCCAAGAGTTTTCTCCATGCTAAAACATACATGAGACACAGTTTATTTTTTGCAAGAAGCGATTCAAGCTGGGAACGATGGGAATTAAGGCAGCGGAGTCACATGCGAAGCACGAAACACAAAGCGTCAAAATCGAGTTAGCCGGTATTTCTCAGTTTAGTTCCACCCTTGTCTCTGCAACGCCTCCACTTATCACCAAATCAAACATACTAAGAAAAAGATACAAAGAAAAATAGCTGCAAAAAAGACTTAGCACTGGTTATGTTGTGGCTTTAAAACTTATGTGTTTTGTTCCCTGCTAAAACAAAGTTTGTGAATTCAGTTAAATAATTGTTAAAATATATCTGTCATCTGTGTATTTTTACCTTTCTTCCTGTATGGGAAGCTTTTCAAAATTTGAAACATTAGTGCAGTGGTTTATGTTATAATAAACCTTTGGGTTAAGTTGTTGCAAGCAGGTTTGTCTTGTTTTTTTGTGAATTTGGTCTTAAATTTTTATTTCAAGTGGCATTAAAAAGTCTTAAAAAGTCTCAAATTTAACTTGCCTTATGCTGTAGGAACCCTGAATGAGGATGTAAAGGTGTTTAAAAATACAGATTCCAAAGCTCATTAAAATTCAGCATTTTAGCTTAATTTCACTGTATATTTTAATTTAGCTGGTTATGCTGAAAGAAAGTAATGTTTTTATGACTTCCTTCTGACCTTATAGTCCCCTCATGCTGCACTTTGGGATTTATACTTGTAGAGTTTTATGTCTCACACTTATTTGTAGAGAAGAATTTATGACAGCCTTAACAGTAATGATGAGAACATCAAAGCAAACAGCTCTGGTATCAAAAAAGTATCAGGATCGACAAATATCTAAATTCAAGTATCAGAATGGGATTGGAAGGGGAAAACGTGGATCGAAGCATCCCTAAAGACACGCTTCATCGTTACTAATGGTCTTAAAATGAAAGTACATTTTCACTGCTGAGCTAGAAATAGTCAACAGTATGTTGAATTATTTATCACATTACATTATAACTGCATACATTTAAAGGTGGAATAAGCGTGAAATATACATAATTTAACCCAATCATTAATCCAACACTTTGAATAATTGATTTTAGGACCTATTTTAGGGAATATTTAAATTAAGGTAAAAAAGCACATTTAAAAAATGCATTTTTTATAGTTGCAGGAATGACTCGTTTCTTTTGTTCTTGTTGGTGTTTTTCTAAAACTATATCCCCAGCTTATATCACATTCCCCCCATGCTGATATGAAGGGGACACACGCATGGCTGTGAACTCACTCTGCCATCAGCCAGACGCCGTGAACGTTGCCGTCTTCCTCTTTTTTCACCAGAGCTTCAACGTCTTTGATGGCCTGATTGAGAGTGCCGGGCTGAGGAGACAGGAGAAATGCACGGGTGTCACTTTCAAACGTTCCGCTGTGGCAGCCAGAACATGAGCATAGAGAGAGAAGGAGGCTTTAAGGGTTATCTTTGAGGCAGATGTGCAGCAGGGAGTGAGGGACATGTCAGCACAGCTCTTCGTCAACGACAACAACCAAACCAAAAGGTGAAATCACAGTAAACAAAGAAAAAACATGACGTGAAGGTGAGAATGACTACAGTATAAAGGAAGCTGAACATGACCGACTCCGAGTAACAAAGACGTCTGAAGACGCTCAGGAAGGAGCTCTACGCTCAAACTGTCAGCCACAAGGCTTTTCCAATCATCTTATTCCATCCGTTCACTTTGTTCCATTATTTCAGCGCCAAGCAGGAGAACTTAAAACAGATTATGAGTTCATATTGAGGACTCCTGACAGTCTTACTGTAATCTTTGGCTGGGGCTGACTGCAAAGTTGGCCCTGGCAGCAGGGGATGCGTTCCCACTAAAACCAAGTACAACAGGCCTGCATCGAACAACTCCTCCTGAGATGAACATTTCCGAGCTGGCAGAGAAAACGTGGATGAAACAGACTGTTTTAAAGCAAGCTCAGAGGAGGCTGAATAGTTTAATGATAAGTCAAAGAGCTTCCTTCATCACGGGATCCGTGTACGCATTTCAGAATCAGTCTGCACGGCCTTGGAGATTAGCAGCATGGCTGATGAACTATAGCTGAACACAAACCATAGAAACCAGAGAAGGGTAACTTTACTGAGGGAATCTTTTTCTATTATTGTCACAAGAAGTTTTGTAAAAGGAAATTTTGAAAAACTTAATCAAATTTAAGTTTTGTTTCTACTTATATTTTATTTTTTCAATTATTCTTTCATATATTTTTTTCAATTTTCTTTTTTATTTCTCTTCCTTTACAGAATGCATTCTTTTTAGATCCCTTTCTCTTCACTTCTGGGGGCAGACTTTCCTCCTGAGTGAAGATCTATGATGCATTTCTATTGGCAAACATGGACATTATAAAAAATTTTTAGTGAGTGTATTGTGCTTAAAGTGAATGTGATCTTTGAAACACAGTTTGAAAAGAAACAATTTGTAAAACTCAACCCTTCTATCAATCTTCCTTCAACTTATCCCTAGAGGGGATAGGGTAGCTCCACCAATGTTCATTAGAACCACTTTTCTACCACGCAGCCAGAGCAGCAAAGATGCTTCAGCTGCGCGTCAGAACTAAACTTGTACAAGCATCAAAAATGAAGCAGCACACAGGTTTTTGCTGCACCTGCTGCTTGTGGTGTGAATGTAGCATTAGATGACTTCTCTAAATTCTCCTTAGGTGTGAGTGTGTGCGAATGGTTGTTTGTCCTGTGTGTCTCTGTGTTGCCCTGCGATGGGCTGGCAACCGCCTCTCGCCCGTAGACAGCTGGAGATAGGCACCAGCACCCCTTCTGACCTCGCTTCGGATAAGCATGACAGAAAATGGATGGATGGATAGTGCTGCAAAAACCTAAACAAAAATAATCAAATAAAAATTGAAGTCTTATCACTGATTCTCAAAGGAAAATGTAAGTTTTGAGATGTTATGCTAGAGGTGAACCTCCAATAAGTCTGGAAAAAGTTATAGTGACATTTTATTTAGGGTCATCAAAGTAAAGGGGGTTGATTACAAAGTTCTTTTCAGGGTTTTCAACTTGCAAGACGTCCTGAGAATTGTGCATTTTCCTCCCAGGTCACAATGTGTTGGTCTATCAAATGAAATCCCATTAAAATAATCTGAATCCAGGCTCTGGCTTTCAGATCAGCAGAGCCGGACTGAAGCTCCACAGCCAGAGCAGCAGAGGGAAGGAAGAAAATTATCTGATTTTACCATTTAGAGCCTCACACTCACCTATTAGGCAGGAGCTGCAGAAACATACCAGCAACAATAAAATCACATGCAGGCTAAATAAATAAATAAGTCACGAGACAAAAAAAAAAACATGTAGAAGTAGAACAAATAGAACAAATATTTGATTTTGATGTGAATATATAAATTTTTACCCTGAGGACAAAGAACTTCCTTATTTTGAACTGCTGCAGGCAGTTATCCACCGACAGGCTGCCGAGCTGGAAGCGGTCCTCCCCGGCTTCCGTCCTCTGCTCCCCGCTGTCCTTCACTTCTCCATCGGCCTGCTGACAGCTCCCTGCCCCGCTGGAGGAGGCGCTGACCGGTTTCTGCTCCTTCTCCACAGGAACTCCTTCCCCCTCGTTTGCCATTATGTTCTTTAAAAACCATAAACAAACAAACAGGCGAATTAAATAACGCAGCGAACCAAACACGATGCAGGTTTAGTCACTAATGGACTGTCTGACGGATTTAAATCAAATCTGTTCTTTCGTTTTAACAGATAACTTTCATTTCCCCCAAACTCCAAACTTTTCTATGATTAACTTATAACTTATTTTTTTTATCAGTAAAAACCAGACTCACCCAAATTCACAAAGAAATGTAGAAAAACGAATGTGTGGAATGTAATTAAAGGCGAAAGCAGCAGGTGTTGAACTTCCTTGTTCCGTGTTACAGCGGAGGGAGGAGGAGGAGCAGGGGGGAGGAGAAGGAGGAGCAGGGAGGAGGAGAACAGGGAGGACGAGGTGGAGCAGGGGGGAGGATGAGGAGGAGCAGGGGGGAGGATGAGGAGGAGCAGGGGAGAGGAGAGCAGGGAGGAAGAGCAGCAGGGGGGAGGAGGCGGAGCAGAGAGGAGGAGCAGGGGCGAGGAGGAGCAGGGGGAGGCGGAGAAGGAGCAGGGGAGAGGAGAGCAGGGAGGAAGAGGAGCAGGAGGGAGGTGGAGCAGGGGGGAGGATGAGGGGGAGCAGGGGAGAGGAGAGCAGGGAGGAAGAGGAGCAGGGGGAGGAGCAGGGGCGAGGAGGAGCAGGGGGAGAAGGAGCAGGGGAGAGGAGAGCATGGAGGAAGAGGAGCAGGAGGGAGGTGGAGCAAGGGGGAGGATGAGGGGGAGCAGGGGAGAGGAGAGCAGGGAGGAAGAGGAGCAAGCGGGAGGAGGCAGGGGGAGGAGGCGGAGCAGAGAGGACGAGGAGGAGAGGGGGAGGAGGGGGAGGAGGAGGAGCAGGGGAGAGGAGAGCAGGATGGAAGAGGAGCAGGGGGAGGGAAGCAGAGAGGACGAGGAGGAGCAGGGGGAGGAGGGAGGAATAGGAGGAGCAGGGGGGAGGAGGAGAAGAAGCAGGGGAGAGAAGAGCAGGGAGGAAGAGGAGCAGGAGGGAGGGGGAGCAGGGGGGAGGATGAGGGGGAGCAGGGGAGAGGAGAGCAGAGAGGAAGAGGAGGAGAAGGGGCGAGGAGGAGCAGGGGGAGAGGGGGAGAGGAGAGCAGGATGGAAGGGGAGCAGAGAGGAGGAGCAGGGGCGAGGAGGAGCAGGGGGAGGAGGAAGAGGAGGCGGAGGGGAAGGGGGAAGAGGAGGAGGTGGATGAAGAGGAGGAAGGAGGAGGAGAAAGAAGAGGAGGGAGGAGTAGGAAGAGGAGGATGTGGAATCAGGATGCGCTGATAAATCAATCCAAACCAAACCCTAATCAGCTCTCAGAACTTCAAATCTGTTTCCAAATTTAAGAAAATAATTCCTAGATTAGATTTATTATTAGATATAAACCACTTATTAGTTCAGCTTTATCATAAGAAATGTTTTGTACGATTTGTCTGGATTCCTGCTCATGTAGGCATTGAAGGAAATGAAGAAGTAGATATATTAGCTAAACAGACCTTAGAATCAGACATATTAATAACTAATTAATATTCCTTTATGCAAAAGTCAGGGTAAATCTTGGTAAAAATCTGTAAGGCTCAGCAGGAACGTTGGGATTATCATGACACTGGTGGAGTATGGAAGAATTGTCTCCATCTGGTTACAGTGATTACAAGTCTATGGAAGAAAAAAAGCCTCGTTGGAATACGCCTTTTTTTTTGTACATTGAATTTTAAACACTGAATTTTTTTTTAACACATTGAATTCCTTACACTGAATTTGTATCTGATGAAAATTCAGTTGCAAAAATTTGCCTGCAAAAAATTCAACTGCAAACGTGTTGACCTTTGGTGAACTCAAGCCACAGCAATCTACACTTGATGCAGTCGAGCAGCTTCTAGCCAAGGAAATTAGCTTGTTTGGTCAGGGGAAAAACAAAAAAACATTTGCCACCAGCAACTTCTTCCAGATCAAACCAAGAGCCAAGGGAGCCTTAATCTGTGATCAGCTCAGTTATTTCACCCAGTCTGATTAGATAAAAACTCTACTGGCTGTCTATTAGTAGCTACCTGACGTTTTGTAATCATGTCTATTTGACAAGATAAAATCATTATCCAGCCTAATTCAGCCAGGAACAAAGCTATGCTCAACTGTTGTGTCACACGACCAAATTAGCTAATTTCATTGGCTAGAAAAGGCCAACACATTTGCAGTTTAATTTTTTGCAGGTGAATCGTTTGCTGGCATTTTTTTTTTTGCAACTAAATTTTCACCAGATAAAAATTCAGGGTAAGGAATTCAATAAAGAAAATTCATTGTTTAAAATTCAGTGTGCAAAAAAAGGCAGTTTCCAATAGACTGTTTTTTCTTCCATAGACTTGTAATCACTGTAATCAGATGGAGAAAATGGAAGACGTATTATTAAAATGTAATAAGTATTCACAGGAACCTCAGCACTTAAAGTCAATGCTAAATAGAGAGAAAATAGGATTTTGGATTATAAACCTTTTAGCAAGTAAATCAAATTCTGTTAGAAATCAAATAATTAAATAAAAAAAACAAAACACTGGATTATTTAATCACATTTAAAGTATGAATATAAGTGTGTGTATGCATGTGCTTATACACACATACTAATTTCTATGTGAGTTAATATGCAGATTTGTGCATAACATTGAGGTATGTATCAATAACTTCCCTCTGACATCATTGATGACCACACTCCATTCTGGTAGGTGGTGGTAAATGCAACTTAAGTTGGTTGCCATCCGCCAATAAAAAACATAAGAAGAAGAAAATAATTCCTCTTATTAATGAGGAAAATACATTCGCCACTTCTTAACTGAATTACTGTAATTCCTTGTCTCAGTACCTGTGGAACATAATTACATTTTTCCTACTTAGTAATGACCCAGCTTTGTCTTATTCCCAAACACTCATGTTTTCTTGACTATAAGTAGAGCTTTCAGTTACTTCACACATACAGTATGCTTGCACATCATTGGTATGGATTTGACTTTGTTTTTATTTTATTTTGGAAGATATTCAGGCTTGAAGAACTTTAATATCTCTATTTGTGCTCAGCTGTACAAAAAACGTTTGCATTGTTAATCACATATTATATGAAATTATATTAAATAGAGGTTATCGTTATCCTTATGTCCCTAACAGAGCACTTCACTCTCAATCTGCAGGTTTAATAGTGGTTGCTAGAATTTCTAAAAGTAGAATGGGAGACTGATCTTTTATTTATCAGGCTCCTCTCCTGTGGTGCCAACTACCAGTCCGTGAGGCAGACACCCTGTCTACTTTTAGGTTTAAGGCTTAAAACTTTCCTTTTTGATAAAGCTTATAGTTAGGGTGGCGCTGGTTATCCTGAGCTATCTCTTTAGTAACTCTGCTGTAGGCTTAGACTTCTGGAGGACATAGGAACCCCTATTTCATCATTTCGCTTTATTCTATTTCTGTTCTCCCACTCTGCAGAATCTGTTAGTTCTCTGTTTGGCTGTTACTCCATCCTGGAGAGAAATATCAGCTGTGCTGCTGCCATCAACACCTTTGCTTATATATGTTGGAGATCAGCCTGTTTTCCAGTGTGGTCCTGTTTCTCTGACTGTGACTGGCTGTGTGTGCTCTCTTCATCCTCTGATATGGGAGCTGGCTCGGAGCTCGTCTGCCTGGCTGTGTGTTTCCTGGACGGGAGGTTCTGGTCCTGATGGACCGCAGCCTCCATCAGGACCAACACCTCCCGTCACAAAAACAATGCTGCTAATTAGTGAGATTTGGCAGCTAAGGAATGGCACAGAAGTTTCAATCTGTTAACTATTTTATAAATGCAATAACAAAACATTGTTAGAAATTAATCAACATGTGAACAATTATCATGCTTTCATTGCCAACATGTTGTAAATTGCTTTGATGACTTTCTATTAACTGCTAAACCTTTAATTTGCTATAGCACAGAGAAATTAAATAAGACCTTTTTTTTTGACAACCACTGCTTATCTGTGACCCAGTGTTTTGAATTCTGTTTTGCTAAAAAAAGGACTTTACTGTATGGTCCTAGGATCATCTATATGCATGTTTAATTGGTATTAGAATGTAAAATTATATGATTACATATTCACTCATAACTTTTTTTATTATCTTACCATTAGATCCCCTTTTGCAAATTGGAAATAAATCCATTTAATTGACATTTTCTGCAATTACACTCAAATTAAACTACATTTACTAAACTTTGTTCCTTACTTGCATTGTGAAGCTAAAAAGCCAAAAAGCCAAAATAAGAAATATATTGTAAAATTTCAGACAGTGTCCATTCTTATATATTAGTTACAAAAGACTGACAATATTAATGTATTAATTATTTTATTGTTTAACCAAACTCAGATTTAAATGGTTTATGGAGTTTATCAGATAATTTTATAACCATCTCAAAATACATCCATGCCCCTACATGGATCATGTTTAATTTACACTACCAACAATTAAATTACATAAAAGTGCATTTTAGGGTATCCTTGGAACCAGATAAATATATAAAACAACATTTGTATTATGGAAGTGGTATGAAGCTTACTGAGCTTCACCCATCCTTAGTGGTTAAGGGGGTTATAGAAAACAATGACAGATTTGTGGAAATCTTTAAACCATAGCAACTCTTTTAAAAACAATTCAGACAGGTTGTTGAATATGAAGAGATTTTTAAAGGCAAAGTATTTCATCATAGGAAGACGCACCTACTAAAATAGATGGTATCAGCATTGATATTTGTGTGTAAAATTATTATTATTGAAGGCTACGAGAAATGTAAAGCACAACCCAATCCTTGTCCAAATCACATTTTTCTTACATTCAGTCACAAAGCTTTTCCCTCTACAGTTTGATTTTCTATTATTTTTTTCAAAACGTATTATTTAAATAGTAATTTTCTCTCGGGTTCTTTTTTTTTTTACCTCAAGGTTTTTTTATTATAAAAGATATAAGTACTTTTTTCATTTTCAAAACACTGACAATATTAGAATTTCCTTCCGCATCTGATGTTGACTTCCGCTACTACTTGTAAAGTTTTTCAAGCATTTTTTTCTTGTTAGCACTTGAGACACTTCACCTAGAACCCAAAGAAGATGCAAAGGATCTTTGAAATGCACAGACATGAATCTACTTGACAGTCGAAGGAAATATCAATCACTTTAGAAAAAAGAAAAAATATCTAAAGATCAGAAATAAATGCTAGAGGCCATCCGCAACATTTATGACAATGACAATTTGATGCTGCAGCCCGTGGGAGTAGCTAAGCAACCGTGACGAAAGGATGCCTTGAGAAACAGGAGAATGCCTCGAATCTTTTGACAGAGCGGAGTGTGACTGGATTGGGCTGAAACAAGACACTGGGAGAGCTCTCTGACAGAGCTGTCATTGGGAACAAGTGGCCTTTACAGCACTTCACGTCAGGAAACATTAAAACTCACGCAAACTGATGTCTAACTGGTGCTGCCATTCAAAGACTTAGGGGGGAGGACAGAGTCTCACTTGCTTTCACTTCTGGTTCGTGTCACTGGCTGATTGTTTTATTGTTCTGCTGGAATCCTCAAAGCTTTATTACTGGTAGAGTATGCAAACACTGGGAGCGCTTGAGTCAGGAAAATCAGAGCAGGCTAAACAGTTGTAAAAGATCCTGTAGGCTCAGCTAGGAAGCATTTCCCCAGTAAGCCTCAACATACAGGAGCATTGAGCAGGTGACAGATTAAGCTTTCACAGCAATTCATCGATAGATATAACCTAAACAAATATGTTTCATAGATACTTATATTGATAAAAGGAGATTACTTTGCTTAGCTCTTGTAAAGGTGACTTTTTATGTTTGCACGCATTTTTAAAATATGCATTTGCCAATAAGGACTTATCTATTAAAAAGATAATTAAATACATTGTGTTAATAATATAATTTGTATCTGTTTTGTTTTCATGTTTATTTGCACAATTTTCCATCTCTGTAAATCATCGAGGGGGCGGGGTTAGTTGAAAACTTACTGAACCAGCTGTTTATTTCATGATTAATACACTTGTTGTCATGTAGCAGGTACCGAGACAGGAAATGGACTCTGCCATGGGATGAGAATTTGCATGATGGGATGCAAAGTGGGCAAGGCTGATATTTTTCTTACCTTGTGACACAGTACACCACATCCTTTGCTATCTGGCTTCACAGTTTTACTTTTGGCAAAA